TGAAATTCTTTTTTTTTTGGAAAAAAAATTCTGGCAGCTGTTGTAACGCCAGCTGGCCGAAAATGAGTTTTTCAAAGAAAAATCCATATCTGAAGTTTGATCCCAAACAGTAGTTTCATAATTTTAAATTGTTTAAATTTGACAAAAAAATTGGAGAAGCCTAAAAATTAGATTTGTCCGTTTTTGGTAAGTTTTTGTTCCGTTCTTGGTCAGTTTTAGTCCATTTTTCGATCTGTTTTTGGTTCGTTTTAGTTCCGTTTTTGGTTTATTTTTTGTCCGTTTTCGGTCAATTTATGCTCAATTTTTGGTCCTTTTCTAGCCCGGTCAGTGCCAAAATTAATCAAAAACTTTGTCTGAATCGTTTCAGATGGATATGTGACTTCTAAATTTTAGAATCTGCAAGATCTAAAAATATTATTTAAGTTTCAGAAAACTGATAATTTTCTTATCAGTTTTAAACTTTGTCGAATCGAGACAGAGGTTCATTTATTTTGTCATACTGTAGATGAAATCGATTTTCGAAATGTTTCGAAACCGATATGAACTTTCCACATCATTTGCTATGGTGTGCTGCTTACATAACCGGTTTTTTCGCTGTTCCGAAGTTTTTTGTGTTCTGGTTTTTTGATTTATCATTGAGAACCCTCCTACAGAGCTTCGAAAAAGATCAAAAGATTAAGTGGATTACCCCTATGAATCATAGGAAACCAAGGTTACACATCTTCTCTTGCAACGAAATGCCGAAATTACGCTTTCAAAAAAAGCCTGCCCTGCAGAAACCCATTTCCAATTTCCTTCACCTTGACGATGATACCATCGGCGTTCCCAAGAACGTCTTCCAAAAACGGGGCGCGAATCCTACGGTAGCTGCCCGTTTCGACGTGTCTTGCTGCTATGGCGCCGTTGGCCCCAGCCGTTAGTCCGATTTGTACGCTCCGCCCATTTTTTGTCTCTCCGATTCTTCGCCTCTTTGGCGCTGCCCCCCTCCTCACCCTTCCCCTCCTTCCACTTCATTCCGCTCCCAACACCAGTCGGTTTTGGCTTCCCTATTCAAGCCTGCTGCCTTATATATTCTCTGAATTTATATTCTCAGAATTTATATTTTTCTGAAAATAAAACTTTTATTCTCTGAAATATTCAAAGTAAGTTTAGAACCATTCGGGATGTTGAGGTAGGCTCAGTAGATGCGAGGAGATCCACCATTCCTCACATCGTCTGTCCTAACTCGCCTTCCCTTGTGCTTCAATATTTCTTTTGCTTCTCTTAATTGTTTATGTATTTCTCTTTTGATGTGCACAGGTTTACACTCAATTGACACTTATTATGTAATTGTTTTTAAATGATCAATAGGTGGTTGTGGCGGCGGCTTCCCCCTGTTCCATAGTCATTTAAGGATTATCCCTTGACCGTTCCGGGGGATGAGGAGCATAAAACAATTGACAGGTGCGGAAGGGATTGGCTTTTTGGTTTTTTGATTGGAAAGGGAAGTGTTAGGGGTTTATTGGTACATATGTGGTGATTGGAGAAATTTATGCATGGGAAGGGAAGAATTGGTTATGGAAATATGATGAGTGATTGGGTGATAAAATAGTGGTGATTAGGACAAATAGGAGATTTGAAAAAGGGAGAATGTTTTATAGATGGGAATGGATGATTTGATGTTTCAGAAGGCTTCAGAAGAACGATATTTCGACAATTTCAGACAAGCTAACTCAATGATATTTTAAATTTAAACCTCGACTGCAGGCTCCAGGAAAGGATGATTAGATTTTCCAGTTTTCTGAATTTGAAAATGTCTGAAAATTGGAATTTTAAAAAATTTTAGAATCCTTGAAGTCTTAGATTCCTTGGATTGGGATTCGCGGAAATTCTATATAATAGGGTATGTCTGTTTGTATAGGTACCGTTAAACCTGTAATAGAAGGGCTCCACAGACTGTCAAGGGGCCTTCCTATTGCAGGTTCTACGATGAGAATCGAATTTTTGAAAAGAAAACGTTGGGATTTTGGACGAACTTCAAAATTTCGCGATTTCGGAACTTTGAGATTTTGTGTTTATGGAATTTCGAGTATTTCGAAATCATGAAATTTGGAATTCTGGAGCAATTGAAAAGTAACCCTTTCAAATTATCAAGAAGCCTGGAAAGTTTTCTGAAATCCAGATTTTTTAAAACTGAATTAAGATACAAATTTATTTTGAAAAGTTGGAATTTCTGGTGATATTAAAATTTTTGGGATTTCGGGACTTTGTGGTTTGGAATTTGTGGAAAACTTTGAGATTTTAAAATCGAGTAATTTTTGAAACTGAGTAAATTTGAAGTTTTAGGAAATACCGTGGAACCAGTAATCCGACACTGTTGCGTTTAAGCTCGATTATCTCGATTGCTGTGAAAGATATCAGAAATTTGTTGACTAATAAAATATTGTTGACTAATAATATATTTTATGATAAACGTGATTTATTAGCTTATGGAACCAAGATAAGTTGCCTCAAAGTTAGAAGTTAGGTCTTCTATGGCATGTTTTAAGGTATAAGAAAACTTCTGGAATTCTATTAAGTCTTGATTTTTTTTCATTTTCTGTATTCCTCTTAGATTTTTAGATAACCTTCCGATTTCGTAATCACAACCAACTTCACTTCTAAAAAATTCTGTTTTAAACTACCGTATCCCTTCTCGCACGTCATTTTGCTCTTTTCAGAAATGTTGAAACTTTCCTAATTCATCTATACTTTTAAGTCAAAAGTTTCGACTAATCACCAGTGATACCATGCACTTTTTTCTCTCCTCTTCATCTTTTGAGAATCTGATTTTGCTTCTCCATCATCTTCATCTTCATCCTCTTCTTCTTGTTCCCCCCGATCAGAACACACGGAACAGAATTCGCGAAAAAGTGCACAAAACTAATATGAACTTTTAAGAGAGAATTTGGTGATAACCGGGCTTCAATATCTTGTACTTTTTAAGAAGTGCCTCCAAAGTGACGTTAGAGATGTTTTTCAGATGTTTTTCAGCTTTCGAGAAGTTCTGAAACTCTGAAAAAGTTTTCATGGGGAACAGGTGTTTGGTGAAATTTGCATTGAATTATTCTAATCTCTTCACATTAAAGCTACCGTAACCCATTTCTATTTGGAAAGGAGCCCATTTTCTCCCTTCGTCCCTCCCGACAAAATAAAGCTCATAAAATTGATGGGTCCGCGAGAAAAAGTGGTTTTAAGTCGTCTTGAAGACAATTGATGAGCAATCGAAAAACGCAGTCAATTAGGAAAAATGAGAGGACTACTGTAGCTCATTCTAGACTTGAAAATCTGAAAAATAACTCACACGACTTGTTTCGTGATTAATTGACGTCACAAGGTTCGCAAACTAGTTGGAAATAGAGAGAAGAAGGTCAGCAGTTTTTTTTTGGAGGTGAAAGGGAAAAGAAACTGAACTGGAGATGGGAAAATGGTGATAAGAAATCGGTTTTTCGAAATACTTAAAAAAGGAAAAGATTGGGTTGAAAGATTGGCGAATTAGATAGAAAGAGTGGGTTGGGAGTACGGTAGGAAAGAAAAAACTTTGTCTTTGTTCTGAAAATCTGGTTACGGTAGGACAACAAAAAAAGGGTTATGTACATTCGATTGAAAACCAAAAAAAATCTTAGATCTTTTGGAACATGAAATGAAAAAAAAATTTTTAATACAGTGCGTTATACGTCCACTTTTTTTTTGGACCATAACTTGTGAACCAATCAGTGTATCAATATGAATTTGTAAAAATCGGATTCAGGTCAAAAAATTTCTTTAGATGAATGATTTCTGGGATTAGATCCGGAAAGTTACTTGAGTTATCCGGAAAAGCCTTTTCAAAAAATCAAAACTTATGTGATTTGTTGCTCTAATACATAACTTTGAGCCAATTTTTCTCGGTTACTGTAAAAGATATCAAAAAACTTCCATCAGCAAAAACGTTCGTCTTGATACCAGAAAAAATTTAGTAATTGAAAATTTGTTGATATCTCCACCAGGAAACGAGATAATTACTGCCAAAGGGAGCATATTTTTAAAGAGTTTCACGGATTTCAAAAGATTTCAAAAAAGGAAACTTACAAAATTTAGGAACTCACGTGGCCCATTGACCTGAGGAAGAGCACTATAAAAGAAGAATGGATTGGAGAGAAAAATCAGTTCTCCCTTTCTCTGGGGTCCACAGAGGTGACCCGGGAATTACGGTCCTGGGTCCTGGGTCCTGGGTCCTGGGTCCTGGCCTAGATTCCAATTTTTAGATCATGACCTAGAGTTTTTTAGGTCGTGGCCTAGATTTTTTGAGTCATGACCTAGATTTTTCCGGTAATGACCTAGATTTTTTAGGTCATGGCCTATATTCCGATTTTTAGGTCATGACCTAGATTTTTTTAGGTACTGACCTAGATTTCAATTTTAACATTTTGAAATAATTTTTTTATAATTCATCTATTTCAATCCAACCGGAGCTCAATTATCTTGATTCCTGTGAAAGATATCGAAAATTGGTTAACTAATAAAATATTTATCATAACGTCACCTATATTTTAACAGTTGATAAATTTTTTATACATTTCACAGGAATCGAGATAAGTGAGCTCAAAGTTGATGACTTGGATGGACTTCTAATAGAGGAAATACGGTACCCAAAATCCTCCCAGAACGATGACCTCGACAGTTTCTGCAGTTTTTCGTATTGGAATAAAAGTGTACAAACACGACACCGAGCCGTTTTCGGGTTGGGACACAAACAACTCTTTTCGTACTCCTTTTGTGTTTTCTTTCTCATTGAATTTCGAACTCTTGACAAACAAAATGAAATCTTTTTCTCTCCCCGAAATGGTTCAGAACCGACACGTTTCCATCTTCAGTCAGAAGCTTCTAGCATTATGCTCCGAAATGTATTTTTTTCGTTGTTTTCTCTAATACTCTTGCATTTGCATACTGTCTCGTCTGATAAATGTTTGGATGCTCATCACGACTGTCGATTGATAGCTATGAAATGTCTTTCTCCGAATCGAATTGAGCAGAAATTAATGGAAATTGCATGTCCGTTGACTTGTGGATATTGTATTGAAAATGAAAGAGTCACTACGAGTACAGTAATCCCAGAAAAGTCAATAATGCCAACGAAGTGTATCGATGAAGCCGACGATTGTGCGGATAGAATCAACTTTTGCAATAGAAAGTTTTACAAAAGAATGATGAGTTTACAGTGAGTTTTAATAATCTAGTGCAAAGAGCTGTGTAAGAGAAATGCCGATGGCCGTGGCCGAAGGTGCCACAACGACAACTACCGTAACCTATAATCATTTTTAAATAAGTGCGTGCGCCTTTAATACCGTACTTTACAGTTCATTTAATTTAGCCAATTTTTGGCTGTTTTTCTGATTTATAAAGAAATTCGGCTGATTTTTCTTGAGAATCGAAAAAAAAACCATCGAAAAAGAGCAAAAAATCTGAAGACAATATGCAAAAATAAAATAGCTTCGATATACAGTATCGAAGATGTATGCACTTATTCGAAACATTTAATTTTTTCGCTGCTGAACCAACGATGCGACTTTAAATTAATTTTCCGTGTCAATGTTTATCGGCGCCGAAAAAAGTTATCAGCAAAAAAACAAGTTCTCAACTTATTTCAGAAAAAAAATACAGAAAAATCGACGAAAAGCAGTGAAAAACGAAAAAAAGAGAAAAAACAATACTTATAGGTTACGGTAGTTTTCGTTGTGAGACCTTCCGATTTTTTTTGTGCAAAACTAAAATTAGGGATTCAAAAAAAATTTTACCAATTCAGATGCGCAAGAACATGCAAATTCTGCGATCCCGACGATGAATACGAAGAAGAGGAAGCTGAAGATAGTCGAGAAATCCATCTTTCCACTTTACGATCGAGTAAGACTCCTTATTTTTATTTTTATACGTTTCTCCATTCCTGCAGAAATGGGAGAAGAAACTGTTAAAAAACTCGAAGAACTCAAAATCGTCGACAGTGTCATCGATCTACTTAAAAACGCGACTTCATCGTCGCTGGCGTCAAAGCCACGTAGATTCTCCAAAAAGCCAACAGCCACAACAAATTTCTCATCAGAAGTCACCGAAACAGAATGCGTCGACACCGCATCGGATTGTGAGCGGAATACGAAATTGTGCACTCATAAAGCGTACACCTCCCTATTCCGAAAGATTTGTGCGAAGACTTGCGAGTACTGTGAACTGGCCGATTCAACGATTGATCTCGAATCTTCGGGAGAGGATTTCTTCTGATTTTTTTTGATAGAAATAAACTTTTGAAAAAACTAAACTTCACTAAAAACAATGAAAAAAAAACATGTTTAAAATAGTATAACAAGAATGCAATTCTATTTAAAAAATTGTTAGAATGTGAAATGGCTGTTTTACTCGTTCTTCAACTCTCCGCAATCAGCGATGGTGACAGTCTTCGATGGAGCTCCGGAGCGAGATCCCATCTTCTCAATCTTCTTCACTACGGACATTCCGTCGGTGACTTGTCCGAAGACAACGTGTCCTCCATCGAGCCATGGGGTGTCAACTGTGCAGATGAAGAATTGGGATCCATTGGAGTTTGGTCCAGCGTTGGCCATCGACAAGCATCCAGGTCCGGAGTGCTTCAAGTCAAAGTTCTCGTCCTTGAACTTGATTCCGTAGATTGATTCTCCTCCGGTTCCGTTGTGACGGGTGAAGTCTCCTCCCTGGAAAGTTTTTGTTCACTAAAATTACTCAAAAATGTACCTACCTGAATCATGAACTCTGGAATGATTCTGTGGAATTTGGAGCCCTTGAAATGAAGTGGAACGCCTTGCTTTCCAACTCCCTTCTCTCCAGTGCACAAGGCGCGGAAATTTTCAGCAGTCTTTGGGACGACATCGTTGAAAAGCTCCATGGTAACACGTCCGGCTGGCTCTTCTCCAATTGTCACATCGAAGAAAACCTTTGGTCGTTGCGAGGCGAATCGCAACGATTGTCCGGCGAGTGTAGAGGCGCGGAGAAGGAATTTCATGTTTTACCTGCAAAAAACTCGAAAATATTTTTTAAAGAAAAATTGGTCTGATAGAAAAATGAGTTTTCAACAAAAAAAAAAGGAGAAAAATAACTTTTTTTACAAAAACTATAGATGCGCTAACAAAAATTTTACTGGCACACCAGTCAGGCACAAGATGTGCGTCAACTCAAAAGCGCGGTTTTTCAAATTTCAAGATCATTTTGAGCAATCCAACAAGAAACAAATTAAAAAACAATAAGAAAAAAGCTATAAATTATGCTATTCTTTATTATTGTTACTACGTTTTAAAGCTAGAATTAACAAGTTTTCCGGTGACACTTCAGGTGGGACGTATTCAATGACTTTCGTTTCAAATCCAACATTCTCCAGCCAAATTGCTCGCCCGATTTCTAGAATCGCTTTTGCTCGCCGTCCCAATTCCACTGGGGGATGTAAAGACTTCCTGAAAGCAATTGTCTATAGAAAAAAATGTAAATCCAAAAAGGCGTACCACCCATCAGAAGTATCTATATCAACTGCTCCATTGGTGGCGAATGATGCCAAATATCGGAGAGCAGCAAACGAAGCCTCATCATCCATTCCCCATTTCTCCAAGAATTCATGACCTCCATATTCGACGAATCTTGATTTATGATGGCAACACGGTGCAAGAAGCGCTGCGTCGAATTTCAAACCACTATTCTGTAAAGATCGAATGCCAGCATCGGTAGCACTCCCACAGAAGTGTTTGCAAATTGCCAGAATCTGTCTTGAGCTCTATAAAAATAATTGATTTTTGTGGCTCTGAAAAGAAGAGATTTTACTTTCAACTCATCAATCTTACTCAAATCCATATGCTCAATGGAGCATCGATATCGTTTCCATGCTAATTCCGGGTTCTCTCGAAGCGCAGCGGTGTCAAATTTGTTTCGACATCCACTACGATCCATTAGAATGTATTTTCCGCCGGGAGCGGCTTTTGAGATCCAATATGCGAGTTGGCCTTTTCCGGCGCCTAATTCGAACATGCATGAGGTTGGAGAAGAAGGGAGAACGCCAGAAGATTCGATGTTACCTAGAATTTCGATCGATAAATTTATTTTTCTAGCGCCTTTGTTGCCGGGATGTTCGGAATCGTCTTTTCTGAATTTTTCGGATTTTTCATAATTCCGGAATTTCCAGAATTACTTAGCATTCGAACTTCAAAATAGAAAACTCTATTTTTCATCAGAAAAGCGCAAACAATTTGGTGAAAAATTGACAAAAAAAATTTCAAAATATTCCTTGCGAAACCCGCAAGAGAAATTTCAGCGTGCGCCTTTGATTTACTGTAGTCTAAAAATTTCGAATTCCGAGACGAAATTCGGAAATAGTCCGAAAAAAGCTTCGGAAATATAACATTCCGATCGGAATTTCAATCTGAAAACGGTCGAATTTTCGGAATTCCGTTCCAAACATCTCTGAATCGCAACACAACGAAAATCTCACCTAAAATAGACGAAATTTGCACTAAATGCTTCTTTTTCGCCTCTGAAAGCTCTTGATTCTCCGCCAAAAACGCTTCCACCAACTCATTTCTCTTGTGCTCCACTATCAACCTCTCCTCGACGTCTTCTTCGTAGCATTTCCAAATTTTGTGAACAACTTCACAAATTTCCTCCTCCGTCGGCCTCCGATCGATTTTATCAGTGCGTTTAGTCTCTCCTAACACTGCGTTCGCATCGATTTTGATATATTCAGCGTCGATGATTCTAGAATTACACTTTTCCAGATGCGCTTTAAGTTCTGACTTCAGAATCGTATGTTTTCCATCGTTGGGACAAATCATACGTTCCGTATTGCTTGCATCGTGAATCGCGTGCTCTCCACAAAATCGGTTTCCCAGTTTCACCAGCATTCGACATCTTCGCTTCTTAATCGGAAGAATGTACTCACAGCATGTTCGCTCTGTTGCCATCTAAAATTTTGAAATTTTTTGCTTATTTTTTTAAATTTTTCCTAAAGTTTATTGCTATTTCTTTAGAAAGGTGACTCCTTAGTATTATACATATCACAACACAGTAAAACAATATTTCGTAAGACTATACGGGTTGTTTGTCGCAAAAATAAAAGAAATGGAAACGGGCGGCACAAGTAAAGTAGTCTATTTAACAAGAAGAATTACAGTAAAGACGACAAAAAATTAGGCCAAAAAAGATTTTAAGTGAAAAAAAACGGGCGGGGCGGGACAAAGGGCGACCAGATACATTGTGTGTGGAATTTCATGAAGTGTAAGGATAGAAATCTACAAAAAATTGATGGGAAAAGGTGCAATAAATATTTGAAATTTTTTGAAATTTGGAATGTCAAATCAATCAAACATTTGAGAGAAAGTGAAGAGCAGGGAGGGCAGAAGAGAGGGGAAACGGATAAAACTCTGAGTGTGACCTACTTTTGGCTAAAAAGTAAGCAAAAGGAAGTAAACTAGCGGGAAGGTGAATCCAAAAACAGAAACAAAGATAGATAAAACAAATTATTTAATCCTCGAGGTTTCTGAAACCGTTAGCCATAGCCTCAGCCAGATCATCGTAGTCCTTGCGAATCTTGGCTTCTCCGTCGGCAACTGGATCCTTGAATTTCATGGCGGACAGCTGGTAAATCAAGTCTCCCATGTTATCCTTGATGACGTTCCATGTGATCTTGTTCTCGGATTGAGCGGTAGCTTCGACAGAGTGACGGGCCAGGTCGTAGAATCCAATCATGTTCTTCAGCATACCGACAGTCTTGTAGAATGGGCAGAAACGATCGTATGGGGTGTAACCGTTCTGTTGCAAGAAGTCGTCCTTGATGATCTTGGCAACCTCAAGAGTGATCTTGTCAGACTCAGCGAGGGAAGCTTTTCCGACAAGTTGCACGATTTCGGAAAGATCCTCTTCCTCTTGAAGAATCTCCTTACACTTGGTACGGAGATGCACGAACTCTGGATAGTTCTTCTCGTAGAACTCCTCGAGGGCACGCATGTACTTGGAGTAGGAGATCAACCAGTTGATAGATGGGAAATGTTTACGTTGAGCCAACTTCTTATCCAATCCCCAGAACACTTGTACGATACCGAGGGTGGCAGATGTGACTGGATCGGCGAAATCTCCTCCTGGTGGCGATACGGCTCCGACGATGGTGACGGATCCCTCGCGTTCTGGCGATCCGAGGCACTTGACACGTCCGGCACGCTCGTAGAAGGAGGCGAGACGGGCGGCAAGGTAGGCTGGGTATCCAGAATCGGCTGGCATTTCTCCGAGACGTCCTAAACATCATTTTGATATAAAAAATGCATCGAAAAAAATAGAAATCACAATAAATCTAGACTCACCAGAAATCTCACGAAGAGCCTCAGCCCAACGAGAGGTGGAGTCGGCCATCATAGCGACGTTGAGACCCATATCACGGAAGTACTCAGCAAGAGTGATACCAGTGTAAATGGAAGCCTCACGAGCAGCTACAGGCATGTTGGAGGTGTTGGCGACAAGAGCGGTACGCTTCATGATAGAAGTGGTAGTTCCGTTGACCTCCATGGTGAGTTCTGGGAAATCACGAAGTACCTGAAATAGGAAAAAGGTTACTGCTGAATTTCAAACAATTTCAAACATTTCAAATGAATTTCAAACATTTCAAATTCAAGCAAAACTCACTTCAGACATTTCGTTTCCACGCTCTCCGCATCCGACGTAGATGATAGCATCAGAGTTGGAGTATTTGGACAAGGATTGCGAAATGACAGTCTTTCCACATCCGAAAGCTCCTGGAATGGCGGTGGTTCCTCCTTGGACACATGGGAACAAGGCGTCGAGCACACGCTGTCCGCAAAGAAGCGGGTTGTTGGCGGCGAGCTTCTCAGTCACTGGTCTTGGGTTACGGACTGGCCACACTTGAAGCATAGAGAACTTTTGCTTGCGTCCGGCGAATTCCAACTCGAGAAGGGTGTCTTCAACAGTGTATTGTCCAGATGGGGCGACGAAGGTGACGGTTCCGCAGGCACTTGGTGGAAGAAGAATCTTGTGCTTGATGAGCAAGTTCTCGTCGACGGTTCCGACAATATCTCCTCCAGTCACGTGTCCTCCGACGCGGAGATCCTTGGAGACAACAAAGTCCCAACGAGCTTCACGGGAAAGAGCGTTGGTGGAGACTCCCTTTGGAATGTAGATCGATTGAGTGATATCGGCAATATCCTTGAGTGGACGCTGAATTCCGTCGAAAATCGAACCCATAATACCTGGTCCGAGTTCGACGGAGAGTGGCTTTCCGGTACGGAGCACTGGATCTCCGATGGTGACTCCAGAGGTTTCCTCGTATACTTGAATCGTGGCGTAGTCACCCTCGAGACGGATAATCTCTCCCACAAGTTCTTGATGTCCGACACGAACCAACTCGTACATAGCGGATCCGGCCATCTTTTCGGCCGTCACGACAGGCCCGGATACTCCGTAGACGAATCCGTATGATGATTCTGCGGCCATCTTTTCCTAAAAAATGTGGAAATTGAGATTTTAAACGAAATTATAAGTTACAGAAGGCGGAGAAGGGACGGTGGTCTCATTTTTAGACAAGAATACAGACAATACAACTTTAGATTTAGAAGACGTGGAAGATTCAGAAGAAATAGAAGAGCGAGCTGACATTCGTGTCAACAATAAACATAAATATGAGAAAAAATGAAACATTGGAGTATACCGTCATTTAAGCGGATAAAACTTGAACAAATATGAATATTCAATAAGGGATAAAAATCAATTTATGGCGAAATTTACAAGAAAAAAAAATGCTAAAAATGAGGGAAAACGGGGATTTTCATACACAAAACGAAGCAAAAAAAACCTCGCAGAAATTCTGTGGTTAACCAAAAGAAGAAAAAGTAGAAGATGTGGAGCGGTCGGTATTCAACCCACGAGAAGAAGTGGTGGTTCGATTGACTATATGAGAAACGAGGCAAACGAGAAACGAGAGGAGAATAGCGCGCTGAGAGCAGAGAGCAGAGAGTGAGTGTGTGGCCGTGGCGGTCGCAAAAACCAGGAATCGCCGGTCGTGCGACTAGAAACCAATGTCAGCGGCGCAGCTTCGCCCCACTGAACTGTCTGAATTTGTCTATCTATACAGGGCAACAATCGGGGGAAAAAGATGATAGCGTAATTGAGGGAGAGGAATCGTGTACAGGTGACGTCTCTTTCTAGCAGAAATTTGATAATGTAATTACTACTTATAAGTAGCGGAATTGGGTTTGCAAAAAGGATAATAAGAAGGTAATTTTAAAGTTTCAACCAAATGATTTAGGTTTGATGCGTGGTTTTTTTGTCAGAAACTGCAAAATCATGTATTTTCAAGGTTTTTGGGGATCCAACAAAATATCACCGATTATTTTTCTTAAATTAGGTAACTTTTATGCAGAATTTTCTCGCAAACATTTTCATTTAATTTTTCTTCGGAAAAACTTTAAAAAATAAGGAAGGAAATAGGTTTTGAATCAGCAAATTTCGTAAATCATTCGCCGCATACAATAACCAATTTAAAGGCGTATGGGCGATTTGAATCAAAGGGTTTTGCAGCGAACGGAATTTGTTTTACTTTCATAGTTATTTCTATTGATTTTTTACGAAATTTCGTGAAAACGACCCGAATAGTAGCAAAAAAGACGTTAATGGCAAAAAAAAAGTGATGATGTCAGGAATCTTGATAAGAAAGCACCTTGGCGCGACGCGACACGCATCGCCACGAACCAAACCACTAATCAAACAAAAGAGACTCACAAAAAACCGTTTGTCAATTCGGTCAAAACTCGGAAAATACGCTTTTAATTACAGAAAAAAAATAGTTTGAAAAATCGTTTAATAGTAGAAATTATACAAATTACTTATTCGCAGCCCGCTGCGGAGTAGTGACTTTGAAACAGTAGATCCCCATATGATCGCAAATTTGTCGGGTGATGAATAAGCAATATACAAGAAGCGAGAGATAAACATAAACTGTTGTGTATTTCAGAAGACGTGGCTCGTCGATCTTGATGTCGTAGTATTGGTTAATCATCAGCGCGATCGGTCCCATGTAGATCCAGTCCCAGAGAGACAGCTCACTTCGGCTCATGTGGGCGACGATCAAACGATTCGTGGCTTTAGCAGCAACTGCGCCGAATTGAAGAACGAAGATCACAATGAGATCATCGTAAACACTGGATGCTGACTTGCTATAGATCATACAATACGGAACAATAACTGCGAGAAGTGGACAAATCGGGAAAAGCACTGAGGTTCCCGCAACTGTAGAACCATTCTTTCCAACTCCCTCTGTGAAAATCACGGCGAGATATCCAAGAGCTTGATAGATAGTTCCAAGGGCAACAGCGGCCAAGAGAAGATGTTTAAGAGAGTAACCGAAGACTCCAATACTCCAGATTCCCGGTCCGAAGACTGCAGTGCACAGCAACATAGAGATAATCGACCATTGGGCTTCAGTGACATCGAACCGAGCAAATCTGAATATTTAAAAACGCTTTTATGCAGTTTTTTTCTTTAATACCTTAGTTGTCCAGTACAATAAGTGCTCCAGTGCGCTGTGTAGAAGAGGGACACAGAGATTAGGCAGGCGATGAAGACACCACATCGAACAGTTCCGAGTTGCAAAGCGTAGCACACATTCAGAGTGACAAAGACCTAAAAAATTATTTAATTGGAAGAAAATTTTAAATTCGAGGAAAATGTACATTGTTAGCTCTATCTCACCTGAGACGCAGAATCACATCCGTGGTCGAACAGTTCTCCTAGCGGACTCGATGCTCCAATACGTCTCGCTTGTTTTCCATCGGTCGCATCCAATGTTTGATACGCAAAAAGTCCGGCGGCAGCCAGAAAATATGTCCACGACGGTGCGGTTTCAGTAGCTGTTGGACAGTAGAATGAGAGGACCAACACCGTTGTTAAATTCACAATGAGTCCTGAAACATACAAGTTACAATTTAAATTTTTTTCAAAAAAAAAAACAAAATACCGATTAGGGTCAAAAGGTTGGGTGCTACCCAGAGTGGGTAATAGATGACGACGGCCTCCCAGAACTTCTTCATACAGAGCTCATCGAGCCAGGAGGTGTCGACTGCTGAATAGACGTGCTCATCGAGTCGTTGCAGTTCTTCTCGTGTCAAAAGGCAATCGTATTGCAGGTAATGATCGATGGTTTTGCATCCGACGAGAGCGTCGGATTCTTCGAATGTTGATCGAGGACGATATGCATACCTCTCTTTGGAACGATCCTTGTCGGTGGCTCGATTATTTTTCGACCTCGATCGAGTGGTCACCATTTCTATAAATGCGAGAAGTTGAGTGAATTTGTATCAATTTTCAAAATGAAAAACTAATTGAAACGACTGATAAACGGGAAAGTCAAGAACCTGTCACTTTCACCGAATTTCTAGTTTTTATGATACATTTAGGTTCAAGTATTGATTTATAGACAACTGTTCAATGTTTATTTGATCAAAAAATTGGAAAATTTTTTGCAAAATCAATGTGTTTCAGAGATTAATTTAATGACACAAAAAAACAAGTTCGCACATGTGAAATTTGGACTTTGTCCGAGAGGAGTACACGAGGTGTGCGATGGAGCGCGTCTGCAAATACCACGAAGAAAATTGAGACCCCGCAAATTCCGGGGAAAAAATCGGGAAAAGTGGGCGGAGTCGGGGGGGGGGGGGGGATTTTTGATGCGTTTTTTTGGGAACAGGTTTTGGATTTTGGGGGGGTGGTGATTTTTCTAAAGTTCAAAAATTCGAAGATTTCGAATTTGAAATGTTCAGAAACTCAGAAATTCAGAAAGATAAATCTGCCAAAACTCAAAAATTTAAAAATTCCATAGGATTTAAAAATCGGGCTCTTGAGAATGTGACCCGGGGGAGGGATCCAGGAATCCGGAGATCCGAAAATCCGGGAATTCGGGAATTCGTGAATCCGGGAATTCGGGAATCCGAGAATTCGGAAACCCGGGATACCGGGGCCCAGGAATTCAGAAA